CGGAACCTTACTACTACTAGGAGAACCCTCATACTACTAGCAGAACCCTTCTACCACTAGCAGAACCCTTCTACCACTAGCAGAACCCTTCTACCACTAGCAGAACCATCCTGCCACTAGTATAATCATCCAAAGACTCGTAGAGCCGTCCTACCACTTGTAGAACCATCCTACCATTTGTAGAACAATCCTACCACTAGCAGAACTATCCTGCCACTAGCAAAAGCATCCTATCACTAGCAGAACCCTTCTACCAGTAGCAGAACCATCCTGCCACTAGCAGAACCATCCTACCACTTGTAGAACCATCCTACCACTTGCAGAACCATCCTACCACTTGTAGAACCATCCTACCACTTGTAGAACCATCCTACCACTTGTAGAACCATCCTACCACTTGTAGAACCATCCTACCACTTGCAGAACCATCCTGCCACTTGTAGAACCATCCTACCACTTGCAGAACCATCCTACCACTTGTAGAACCATCCTACCACTTGTAGAACCATCCTACCACTTGTAGAACCATCCTACCACTAGGACAATCCAGCTGTCACTAGGATAATCATCCTAACACAATATGCTCCATCTTCCTCTGTAATATATGTAGACAATCACGAATATTAAAGTTACATAATTATACAGTAAGAGTTATTTCCCCTCAGTGTAACAAGGGTGTTTCCCCTCACTCACCCTGCCTCTCCCACCTCCACCCTGCCTCTCCCACCTCCACCCTGCCTCTCCCAGCTCCACCCTGCCTCTCCCAGCTCCACCCTGCCTCTCCCAGCTCCACCCTGCCTCTCCCACCTCCATCCTGCCTCTCCCAGCTCCACCCTGCCTCTCCCACCTCCATCCTGCCTCTCCCACCGCCACCCTGCCTCTCCCACCTCCACCCTGCCTCTCCCACCTTCACCCTGCCTCTCCCACCTCCACCCTGCCTCTCCCACCTTCACCCTGCCTCTCCCACCTCCATCCTGCCTCTCCCACCTCCACCCTGCCTCTCCCAGCTCCACCCTGCCTCTCCCACCTCCACCCTGCCTCTCCCACCTCCATCCTGCCTCTCCCAGCTCCACCCTGCCTCTCCCAGCTCCACCCTGCCTCTCCCAGCTCCACCCTACCTCTCCCACCTCCACCCTGCCTCTCCCACCTCCACCCTGCCTCTCCCACCTCCACCCTGCCTCTCCCACCTCCACCCTGCCTCTCCCACCTCCACCCTGCCTCTCCCAGCTCCACCCTGCCTCTCCCACCTCCACCCTGCCTCTCCCACCTCCACCCTGCCTCTCCCAGCTCCACCCTGCCTCTCCCACCTCCACCCTGCCTCTCCCACCTCCACCCTGCCTCTCCCAGCTCCACCCTGCCTCTCCCACCTCCACCCTGCCTCTCCCACCTCCATCCTGCCTCTCCCAGCTCCACCCTGCCTCTCCCACCTCCACCCTGCCTCTCCCACCTCCACCCTGCCTCTCCCAGCTCCACCCTGCCTCTCCCACCTCCACCCTGCCTCTCCCACCTCCACCCTGCCTCTCCCACCTCCACCCTGCCTCTCCCAGCTCCACCCTGCCTCTCCCAGCTCCACCCTGCCTCTCCCAGCTCCACCCTACCTCTCCCACCTTCACCCTGCCTCTCCCACCTCCACCTTACCTTTCCCACCCCTCAGCCGCTCTCTCACCTTACCTCACCCCTCACTTTACCTCACCCTACCCTTCCACCCCCTCACACTACAGAGTAAGGCATGCCTTACTCTGTAAAGCAGAGTAAGGTAAGGAATAAGGCTTACCCTCCCCTGCTCACCGATAGGTAAGTACTGGTAGGTAAGTAGTGAAAGTTAAGTGCTGATAAGTATACCTGGAGTATATACGTGGAGTATACTTGGAGTATATATATACCTGGAACTAAGAACACGCGCCTGGCTTTAGAACAAGAACATCACCAATTAAGAACAAGTACAAACATATTTCTTGCAATGATTATGTCTTGAAGCGAAATTTAGAACAGTTTGTGCCATATTAAAACAAATCCACATTTCCAATAGAGGTGGACGGGGGTGGGGGGTGGGAGGGGATCGAACCGGCGTATACAGAGGTCAACAAGACACCAATAAAACACCCACTTGTGTCACGACCCATTTTGCCAGCACAAACAGTCGACTTCACCTGACTTGGAGTGTTTCAATGCTGTCCCAGGAGTTAAATTGGATTTGCTTTTTGTTTTTAAACAAAAGTACTTTTGAGAGTTTGTCCAGGTACGAGTCAACAAAAGCATCTCCTTTGCTATATAAAAATGGCGGAGGAAAATGTTGAAAAAAATGTATTTCGAAATATTTGTCCTTGAATAGTCAGTCGGGTGGCTGAGGACTAGGCTAGGAGGAATAGTCAGTCGGGTGGCTGAGGACTAGGCTAGGAGGAATAGTCAGTCGGGTGGCTGAGGACTAGGCTAGGAGGAATAGTCAGTCGGGTGGCTGAGGACTAGGCTAGGAGGAATAGTCAGTCGGGTGGCTGAGGACTAGGCTAGGAGGAATAGTCAGTCGGGTGGCTGAGGACTAGGCTAGGAGGAATAGTCAGTCGGGTGGCTGAGGACTAGGCTAGGAGGAATAGTCAGTCGGGTGGCTGAGGACTAGGCTAGGAGAGCACCACCCTACTCTCTCTCTTGTCCCAGCACTATAACAATATAATTAACTTGGCAAAATTATTCAGTAAATTATATTTAAATAATGTAATCACACCATCCTTGACCAATAATTACAATTATTGACTGTTTAACACGATGGTGATCTTGGTTATCTTGAGAGGATTTCAGGGCTTAGCATCCCCGCGGCCCGGTTCTCGACCAGGCCTCCTTTTTGTTACACACCCCCAGGAAGCAGCCGTAGCAGCTAACTCCCAGGTACCTATTTACTGCTAGGTAACAGGGGGCATCAGGGTGAAAGAAACATTTTGCCCATTTGTCTCCGCCACCATCGGGGATCGAACCCAGAACCTCAGGACTACGAATCCGCAGCGCTGTCCACTCAGCTGTCAGGCGATCCTAACATGTTTTCAATGCTCAATTATTCTTTGCTAATTATATGTGGATGTGTGAGTAATCCAGCAGTGTTTGTTTTATGTGAAAATAATGTGGAATGTTAAATTTCCGACCAAAAAACGCGGAACATTTTCATACGCCCAGAATACGTTGTTTCCAAATGTTCGGGGCATTAACCACTGCGGAAACATGAACAAATTAACATAATTTACCGATTTATATCTTTGGGTTAAATTTTATGGCTACCTTTCACATGTAAATAATTGTATTATGCATTTTCTCTCCCTGTTGCCACCCCCGGTCTCTCCTCTCTCTCCTCTCTCCTCTTACTCCTGTTTCTCCTCCACCCCTGTGGCTTTAGCACACGTACCTGTGGAAGAGAGAAAAAATAACTTTAGTATAAAACAAATTAAATGGGATAATATTCAATTTTTAATTTGAATGCACACCTGAGTGTGTATTAACACTGCCAACATGCACACACACACACACACACACATGCGACTCCTATACGCGCACACCTGAAAACAGGCAGGTGTGTCAGGGAACACTGAGGCGGATGTACCATTCAGGAAGAAGTCAAGGGTCTTAGTGAAAGAAGAGCTATTAGAACAGGCATGTCAGAAAGAACCTTTATTGAGTCTTAGAGTCGTAAATAAGTGGAAAAGACTAAACGAGGAAGTTGTCGAAGCCAATTCGAAGCTTATTATGGAAATACGAAAAAGAGTCACTGTGTTGGACTTACGATGGTCGAAAGGCGGGGCTTAAGAGTTGATGCCTGATGCTGCAAGCTCAGCTAGGTGAGTACATGACCACACCGGCCCATCCCTGGTAGCCATTCTATGTTACACATAGTCACAAAAAGTACTATCTAAACAGGAGGATGGGCTGGCCACACACACACACACACACACTCACACACACGTCATTATATTAAGGACTAAGTTACCAGGAGACCAAAAGGGCGAGACACGGGAGTATTGACTAAGGTTTTAAACGCGTTTTTGTGCACATTTTGCGCAAACAAGATGACGGACGACGGAGTTCTGATGTAGTGTCGACGACGGATATAACGAGTATATCTGCTATAGCTGAGGATATACACTCGTGTATACTTTTAATATAAGATTTAATACTTTAATAAGATTTAATACTCGTGACGTCACGTATCAGAATTCATACATGTTATCTTGCGATTACCTTGAGATGATTTCGGGGCTTAGCGTCCCCCCAGCCCGGTCCTCGACCAGGCCTCCTTTTTGTTACACATCCCCAGGAGGCAGCCCGTAGCAGCTGTCTAATTTCCAGGTATATATTTACTGCTAGGTAAAAAGAGACATCAAGGTGAAAGAAACTCTGCTCATTTGTTTCCGCCTCCACCGGGGATTGAACCCGGAACCATAGGACTACGAATCCCGAGCTCTGTCCACTCAGCCGTCAGCCCCCCCCCCCCCCCCTAGAATAGGTGGGTTTAGGCCAAAGAAGTGAAGACACTCCAACTCTAATGATCCACGTCCAATATGCTTGTCGACTTTTTTTTTTTATTATTATTTTCTACCACAGACGTGGCCACACATTAACAATGCTAACCAGCATATATACATTTTCTTGTCCTCCATGGATAGGGTTAGAGATGCGTTAAACATATAGTTCAAGGGTTTATTGAACACTCAACCACAGAAGGTGATTCGGTGCTTTAAAAATGCAAAGCTAACCTACATACGTAAATACATAGATACGCTGATTTACGTCTGTCCTACATAAAGTGTTCGATGTGTCCTTTACTTAGTGTCATTAATGTGCATTTACAAAGGTGAAATGTAATTCTGATCAGCTTCCATATATATTTTATACACATACATATACATACACATGCGTATATATACATACATATATACACACATGCTCCAAGGAGTGCCGGACCAACCGGGCTGTGGTGGGTATGTGGGCCTTCGGGCCGCTCCAAGCAACAGCCTGGTGGA